CAAAAGGAACTTGTGTGTGTGTGTGTGTGTGTGTATGTGTGTGTGTGTGTGTGTGTGTGTGTGTGTGTGTGTGTGTGTGTGTGTGTGTGTGTGTGAATCCCATGGTTGATGGTGGGTCTCTGTAAATTGGCTCGTCTCAAGAATTGGCAAATTGAAATTCACAACAAAAACAGCAAATCAATACATACTATGGTGACAATAGATTCACCTGCTCACCATTCATGATACACTTGATTAGTATTGAAATAATGAGGAACTGGAGCAAACACCAAACTTTGCTGCTGGAGGAAGACACAAATCACCATGTTAAATTGTATTGGTGTTTTTTTTGGTATAGTGCCCTTGGGATGACAGAGCAATGCATTTTTGTGTAGTACACCCTTGAGATAGAGCAACAACAATGCGATATCATAGGAGGACAAATAATACTGTAACAAGAAGATAAATGAAATACAATGCAAAGTATACTGTAATTAATGTAAGTGGGATGCATRCGGAGAATCCTGCTGTAGTTATGAACAAGATAACTCAGATGAGAAACGCCATAGCAGTACTACTTCTAGTAGTAGTAGTAGTGCTAGTAAAATCAATGTCTAGACACAAAACAACATAGTACTACTAGCAGTACTCTCTGTTACTAGTAGTATCTCCAATTTTTACATCATGAAGAAGAAGAGGATGAAGTACAAAAAAGGCGGGGACTGTGTCATCTTGAGAAGAGAAGAAACAGTTTCTTTCACCACAGGCTCGGAACAAAACTAACAATRCTACCATATCTTCAGTTTGGCCTAGTCTATTTGACTTACAGACTACACAATTTAGCAGGAGTTGCCCAGCATTTTGCTTTTGATACTTTGTAAACAGAAATGTTAATTGGAAATACAAAGTGAATTAACTGGAGGAACTTTGAATCCTTGTATTATAGGTGCCATTTTCCAGGATTCTTGATGATGAATTTCATTTACGCAACGTTTCAGCTGGCTCTGTATTCCTCGCTAACGTTCTGAATGGCAAAACAATTGAATGTTCCCGATGGACCCTTTTACAGGATTGATGGTAATAATCTAATCATGGAATTCACYCAGAATCACGGATCCACGTGAGAAGAACATGGCTCCAGTCTTGTCCGTTGTGAGACAGACTCAGTTGTTTACCACCTTTCCTTTTGGATGCCGTCTCCATTTCCGTTTACGTTGGMCGCTCGGTATTTTCCCCTCTCGTCATCGTATTCGATGTCGAATGTGACGGTTTCCTCGTCATTTAGACTCTTGAATCCATCCTTGTTGATAGCAGAGAAGTGAACGAAAACATCGTCGCCGCCATTGTCAGGGGCRATGAAACCAAATCCCTTGTCGCTGAAGAACTTAACTTTTCCGGTGACTCCGGTTGCGGTTTGGTCGTCGTCGCTCATTCGCAAAGAAGTTGTCATCGAAGCAGTAGGGGCAGCGATGAAGCCTTGGGTGGCGACAAGGAGGGATGCGGCGATGGTAGCAATGAATTTCATGGTGATTGTTTACTTCGAATTATGTTTATGATTGTGYGGGTAGAATGTTTTTCTGTCTACAATCTATGCCGTTGAGAGAGAAGTGATGTCTTGGTTGATACGCACGCATCAAGAGATACGAGGTGACAGGTGACAGGCTGACGCTACATATCCGGGGAACGTGCACAGAACCAGGGACCGACGAGTCTGATTGGCATCTAGTACTTGGTCCTACCGTGCGTCTTACAAAATCAAAAGAGAACACTTAAAATAATATTTCGACAATTCTATCCATTTRGAACTAATGAGTGGACATCCGCAATAACTCGGTGTGAAGTGAAGCAATTGTGCTCGAGACGTCCTTCCTGTATCCGTGTCGTCTTGTCCGTACGCGAACGGGCACAGAAACAAACCGTGCAGAGATGATGGTTCCGCTGTGGTGCGCTACCAAGGGTACGGAAAAGCGCAATCAAAATCCGAAAATTGGCGAAGATACCATTACCTCCGGGGGCGTCCTTCCTGTATTCCGTTTCATAACTTTTTTGTTGGTCCGTACGCGGACCGGTCTCTGTCACCCCTCAAGTCCGACCTCGGCTCAGAGTGCCGACGAAATATAATGTCTCACAGCCATGGCAGAAAGCTTTGATAGTTAAATCTAGAATAAATTTCTTGAAGATTAGAAAATGATTTCTTCGAATGAGGTTCGTATCGGTATCAGGAAGAGTACCATGGGGATATCTAAAATATAGTAGTAGAAGTAGTGGTTTAGTCCTACCGCCGCACGCTTCTCATGCGGCTATGATGCTAAGTTGCGAAATATTTGTGCAGAAATTTAATTAAAGGAGCTTCAAAGTGATGTAGTAAGAAAAGYGCTTTACCAAACATAGCATGRCAAATATCAAAGTTKAATTGCATTGCTGAAAGCTGGTAGTGGAAATAGTGGCAGACTCACTCAAGAAGTCGCGTACGAATGTCCCATGTACACAGACTCTGTTCTGCTTTCTTTGGTTAACTTGCATCATCCTTCATATGCCTCTACTATTTCTCCAGTATATCAATCGCACGAGAAACGATATGGGACTCCTTGATCGTTGAACTAGCTTCATGACATTTTCCAATTGCATCCACATACGAATCCACCAAAAGTCGAAGACTTGGTAAAAGTTCGCCATCCCTTTGCATTGGCGAAGCGGTTTCTGAATACTCAATAAGAAATTCCATTGCGGGTAGCATGGGATCTGTGTATCGACGAACACTATTTGGGGGACTTTTCTCTACCAAGATATCGATAGCGATGCAAGCCCACTGGATGTGCTCGTGGGCGTCGTTCTGTGTCAGCCAGCCTCCGTTGGCAGCTGTCTTCCAAAAGCGTTTCATGTAGATCACGATAGAATCCACAAAGGGTCCGCTGTCGAGATCTCCCACAAGTTCCAGGATCTTGTTTTCTGCTTGCGCGGTGGTGATCAAATGTACCAATGCGTTCAGTAGACCCTCTTCATTTGATACCGAMAGCAACTTTGGCAAACAACCAATCACATTTTCAGCGCCTCCCAACATCAATAGGTCAACTTCAGAGAACAGCTGCGACCACACATTTATAATCATAGAATAACTCGTATGATCGCAATTGTCCAAAGAGTTATTCAAGAAAGTAGAGGTAATCGATATCGTTTCTTCCAGTGATTCTTGTAAATGCAAGAGCCCATCGGGGTCCAACGGCATTCTTTTATCAGGTCGTTCATCAAAGCCAACAAGATATTGAAYAACACTTGTCATCAAACTTGCACAACCRTCTAAAATCGATTTCCTATCTGGTGWTGCCGCGGTCAGATCTCCTGCTTCTTCTAATTGAATCTTCCACTCTCCGCACGCCAACCGACACCAGGTACATATCKGGGCACTCCTTGACGTCGCTTTSCCCCAGCTCCATCCATACGCCCTTGCAATTCGAGCTATACATTGCCACGCCATCGGTCGCAGGGCTCCTTCATCCGGAGAGACAACATGCGCCATTACAATCGTGTKTACGGCATCCATCGTCTTTGGGTCGCTRAGAAGTKTGGCATTGTTCTTCYTTTTCTTGGAAAGAATTGTCTCGATGTTTTTCATTAGCCATCCGTGCCAAATCATAACTAGGTCCCGCGAGAATCCAACCTCACCATCTTCTTCAGCAATCCAGCGCAAAACAKCGCATATTAATTCTTCGGGCATTCTTTTGGAATCTCGCAACTCAAAAATTCCAAGGACAAGTCTCTCTAGGTTCCCAACCGTGTAAAAATCATCGCCTGCACCCATTTCATCAGCGTTGTTGCTTTCGTGATCGGTACCRCCGGTCGAATCTAATACGGATTTGAGAACAGATATCATTGCCGCCGCATCGTGGCAGTTAGTCGACTGGGTTTGCTCCACCGTAGATACACTACTAATGACATTGGGTTCTTTCTGCTCTGACGACGACTTCGACGATGGTGTGCGCGCTCTTGCGTACACTTTCCAGATATCTGTCAACGCCAATGCATCCGAGGAAAKGAAGTCATCGTCGTGATGAATCCAAGAAAGAAACGCATTAAAAACATCAACATTCAATTTAAGGATACCAGGGCTTGCTGCTGCAACCGTAGACTGCGCRCGTTTCCAAGCTGTGTAAATGATTCGCTTCAGATTTTCCGGCGGAGATGTCGTTAGTCTCGCAGTAACTTGCGTCACCAATCGGATGTAGCATGTGTCTAGAGAAMTATTGCCTCYRTTGTTGTTGTCGTTGYCGCCGCCGCTTGATGCGGAACATCTGTCGGTTTCGGCAACATGCCCTGTTTGAACATMCGTAGCAGCGGCATYGTYGGTGTCAGCGTCGACCAACAGACCTGCTGCAAAATTCGATAGCGTCACAGAGTGTTTTCCCCATGCTACATCAAGATCCTCCTGGGGMAACCTAGTCAGTAGAACCCATGCAACAAGGAATCGCTCGTTTTCGTACTCATATTCAGTCGCTTGGCTGGGGAGCAATGTTTGCTTGCTGTTTCCGTCACGATTGCCTTCGGCGTCGCTCTCACACACTAACAATGTATCTATAGTTGATAGTATCGTTCCGGTGTTCATCTGAGTTTACATCAACGCCGCGAGCGGGTTGGGGTTGGCTCGAAATCGGCTCACGAGGTCACTTCAGTAATGGTGAAATGCATCATATCCTACGGAGTTCTCGGATAGAGATGGACAAKAAAAAATAAAAAATCATAGTTTGAAAATGTTCGACAGCTACGAGTACCGTGCGAAATTGTTCAGTTCACACGTACCAAGTACTATTCCAAAGCTCTTCTCAGCGCTTGCACGACTGTGAGCCAGTAACACGTAAATCACGAGTAGATAGTGAGTGAGCAATAAGCTCAAMCTCACTCTTTATTGTAAACATCCCTTCATGTGATACTAAAGAGCATACGTACATTTTGCAGGTTACAACACTTCCAAGAAAAGGCGCGCGACCTCTAGAATATTGTTCCGTACATTCTGTACGGTAGTCTATCGTASTGGTCGTAGAGTTCAGTAACCCGTAAGTTTTTCTATTTAGCGTCATATTTTGCCGTACGCTCATAGCATACGCTCATACGCTCATACTCTCATACCATACAGTACATACGAGTACGATATGGTACGTAGTTGCGCTGCGCTTCTACCGTACGAGTACCGTACCCTTCTGTCATGTCCCTCTCTCATGTACGTACTACAGTACTAGGAAAAAACTGAGGTTATTCACTAGCTACTCGTGATCGGGCGGGGGCAACTTTTACAACATCACACTCACAGCGCAAAATAATTTGGCGGATATTTTTTTGACGCCGTTTGCTGTGTAAGGACCGATAGGGAAGCTACGTGCAAGGTACACACAAACAAGATCGACTGAAAAGGAGCCACTAGAAATTGAATTCGCATCGACTTCGACCAGAACTACCTGGGCCTTCTTCGTATATTAAATTGTAAACATCGCAACAGAAATAATGGCCGAGGAAGCAAGTGCAAGTGCTGACGTTCCCATGGAAGACGCGGCGGCTGACCCAGCACCAGTAAGCGTTGTCCGTTCGTGATTGCGATCAAAGGAATGACTGATCAAAACACTGGCAATCCACCCAAGGTTGCGAGCGACTGTCCAATCTCGTGTGCGTTTCTAAGCTATTTTACTCACCCGTTGTTCCTCTKCGCCGTAATAAYTCTTGATTGGAAATGYAATGTCAAACACTCACCACGCATACATATTTCAGGCAAAACCAGCAGCAAAGGCTGCACCGGGAGCTGCTCCTCGATTCGAGATCAAGAAATGGAATGCGGTAGCAATGTGGTCATGGGATATCTGCGCTGATACGGTAAGTGAAAATAYAMAACATCCAAAGAARCYGTACGACGTGATCCTCTYTTAGTAGAGGCTTTGGTGTGATAATTATCATTGCAACCTGATCACGGATTGATGGATTCCAACTCTGTTTTCTTTTTCGTCCGAACCAAAAATACGYATCGCACGACAAACACGACAACTACGACRTCGACAACAGTGCGCCATCTGCAGAAACTCACTCAATGAGCCCTCTATCGAGTACCAGGCGAACCCGTCTCCGACGAACGATAACGGACTGTCCATTGCCTTTGGAAACTGCGGCCATGTCTTCCATCTCGATTGYATCCAGCGATGGCTGAAGACGCGTAGTGTTTGTCCTCTTTGCAACAAGGAGTGGGACTTTGCCAAGATCGAGCGCATTCCCGGTTACGGTCAACTCGGAATCTAATCTAGAGAAAAGAGCYACGGMAAAAATGTTCCTGCAAGAGACGAAGGGAGAAACGAAAGAGAACAAAATATTTTTTYAAATACAGGTGGAAGGGTCCTTTTTGCGATACGAAGCCAAAGGCAAGAGTTTCATTTGTCGAGAACAGTTRTCTTGCRGTTATCGCTTGCATCCTCTTTTGATAGACTCCTTGATACAAGCGAAGGAATAGGGAGCAGCAGATCATATTTTGGGAAACAGAATTCGGTTAGTCACATCTGGTCGCCGAAGTAACCAAAGCTTTTTCAAATATATCCACTATAATCAAATCGTTGCAATTCAGTATTTGAATTTTTAAGAAYAWCTCTATCGTAGTGGTCGAGGCCAATTCTTTTGACGGAACCGAAAGCTAATGAAGGTTGTTTTCGTRGTAAAATACTATTCTCATCCCCTCAAGCGCATGTCACGGGACGAAAGCAGTTGCGCCAAACCAYTTCAAACGAGTCAGTCAGACAGATTCATTAGTGGTCATGCCTGTCAGACACCMAAGCCTGCCTTRCACGGATTAGATGCGCAAACTTTCGACTGGCCATACAATTGTGCTACGTTCCACACAGGAAATTAGAACTCGATGCGATCAACCCGCGTTAAGAAGGTTATGATGCGCATAAAACAAATTGGGATTTCGAAAACAGCTTGTCCTCGTTCTTTTGAAAGGGACTGCGCAGAAAGTTCAATCAAGGATGACTTCAAACAGACGACAAAAACAGCAGCAACAACATCACCGCACACCAAAAAGTCACAGTCGATTGAGCCTTGCTCTCCCGAGGGGAACTTTCAGACGAACAATAATCGATCCAGTCGCTTTCTTTGTTCCTTCTGAAAATCTAGTTTTATTTCAAAATCAATCAATCAATGCAGTATTACGTGCTGTTTGTGTTCCATGCTGTATGCTAGGATGATGTGACGTACGCCACACTATGCTTTGTTACTTTTGACTACATCGCGTATTTCGAAGTCCATTCTCGGGCCGTACTATCGTGTCTTGCTCTGTCTGTCTTGAGCAGTTGAGCGATATCTGGAACCAAGGGATCATCAGGGTTTGGGTCGGTGAGAAGACTGCAGATCGAGAGGAGAACCTTGCTGATGGTCAAAGCAGGACTCCACTGATCCTTCAAAATGTCCAAGCAGATGCCTCCATTTGAGTTGATGTTACAGTGATAGATACGGGTAGTAAAGTGGACCTTTGGAGGCTTGAATGGGTAGTCCGCAGGAAAGTGGATATCGAGAAAGAAGACTCCTCCGGCATATGGGGAGTCATCTGGTCCCATGATTGTTGCTTGCCAATGGAACATATCATCTCCAACAGGCCCTGCGGAACAGTTGGCCGGTGGGTCTTTGCCCAAATCGACAAGTTCTGGTATAAATACAGGGATAGCGAAAAATAYGTCAGATTCACGTCATTGTCTCATACCAYTGCCGTTATCGACTGGTCCTTCGTGCAGGAGAAAGTATTTATTTGGAGTCGATGACTTACCTTTATTAATTCGCTTTAGGGACATTTTTATATATTGCGTATTGTGTGTCGAGCCGTTCGGTTATTCTGTCGTCATTGTTGCCGTAAAAGGGTTTGGAAAGTTTTTATGATTTGAATAGCATCGCAATCAGTCATCAAAGGCAACAAGAAACAAGATGAGAGAGGCYCACAACGAATCCAAATTTGGCGAATTATTCCAATTCTTGATATTCTGTAGTACTTTTTCTACGGAAATACTACGCAGATCGGAATAGCCGCAKCGCAATGCTTGGACAGAATGGATACAGGGGACTTGTCCGAGAGCACTGATCGCTTCGGTAATAAACCATCCGTGTTGCCTCTTCCTAGCGTTTTATTCTCTACATTCTGATGGTTGCTGGAAAGAAACCAATCTCTCTCTGATCCTACGTTTGCAGTATTTTACTCACCTTTGCCWATGGCCTTGTATTGTGTTGTCTTGAGGCTGATACGAGGTCGAGCGACCAGCTTGTCACAAGTGACTCTCTGTGATGGACCGTGCGGTCTCTCGGTCTCTCTCTGTAGGCTGTACGAGATTTCGTACAGGCCCTGGCTACGAGGAGTTCTCTCCACCGCGTCGTAGTACGTACCGGTAGTACAGTACGAAGCCCTGTCGCGCTCCAGTAAGAATTGCTCGTACGCGTATTGGTCCCTGAGACACACAGACAATGCCTTCTTGCATGCCTCCTTGAATTTCGACCATTAGTACAGACTTAGTCTTTTAATTATATATATTCGTCTATGAAGAAATCAATGTGCGCTTGCGCCAGCTTGGACTTGACGTTATGAATCACGTTTCATGGTAGACAAAGAACCAATGGGGARATTGAAACGGTTACATTGCGAAGTAAGCATGGGAGAAAATGAAAAAATCTAATCGACTGCCACACGCTGTACGGGTATGTTTTACGMATGAATTTGTACTGCATGTACGGCAACCCGTATTCCCTTGCTGAACAAGTACGATGGGATAATACGTAGTCATCTTCATCTGAATATTATTCGCGCCTTCCGATTATTTGCGTTCACCAGCTTGTCCTTCGTGCCCATGCATACCCKACCCGCCACTTTGGATTCTCCCCCACCGTATTTGAGCAATACTGCAAGAGTCTAATACGATACCATCGATCTCTGCCAAAGTTTTGACAAGTTGTTTGGGAAGGCAAGAAACAAGTCGTAGCCCGTTGGAAAATTCATTGTTGGCTACAACACAATACATCCAGTGACGAAAGCATTGGAATCRCGGAAGTCGTTGCTTTSTCGTCCGGGCGTGTTTTGGGATCTGGAATACAGAACACAAATTTGSGAACGAACACTTCGGCGTTCGAAAATCTYGGAAGGGTGACGCCTWATTCCAAGAATCGTGAGCACCGCACCGGTCCYGTCGCAATCTATCACACAGCAACACAYGCKTTAAGAGAGACAAACTAGACCATGACGGATCYCAAAACCCCGAAGGAGACCATCGCMACGGGAAGTTCTCAGGCACAGCGCACGCCGCTTTGGAAGAGACTAGGACGCCGGGGCAGCAAGACGCAGCTTCCGCCCATGACGCCCCCCGGTGCCCCCATTCCTTTAAGATCCACGAAGGACGASGATTCGTTGGAGGGGGAKAGYRATCACAAACACGGCACGCCTAAAAGGGGCGGCAAGCGCAACAGCAGACTCATGCGCAAGCTGAAGAGCTCGTTCCGAAAGACGCCAACAAGTGGTTCTGCAGCTTCGGAACWAGTKAATCGAGACGAGAGCGACGCCATAAACAACGAATCGATGGCGGTGGGCGAAGGCGACCGTACTGCGACGCCCAGCTCTCCTGCTYATAGTGCCGGCTCGTTTGAAACGATCGAGGTAGGTACCGTACAAAYAGTAGCTAGCGCACCGCATGGCACCAAACACATCGCAAGCTCGCGCATTGACGTTTCKTRTTTCTTTCCAATATTCGGAGCCGATCGTCGTGCGTAGCATTATGATGATTGATTGCCGTTGTGTATTCTGCCCTTTGTCCATATTCGACTSTCCTAACGACAACCTGCATGCCGTTCAACGTTTAATTCAATACTATGAAACGTAGTCGAATCTGCAAGGGGAGGAGAAGAAAGAATCACACGAGTGGAACGAAGTCGATGCGGAGAGGAGAAACCGTGATCGCATATACCAAAAACAACAAATCAAAGAGCGCGATGGTTTTTGCCGGCGCGTGGATACCTACGATGGACAAGTTATCGTGGTCGATAATAAGCCAACGTATGAGATAGGAAATTATTTGGGTGGTGGAGTGGCAGGGGTCGTCTACGAGGGGCATCGATTGCGCCCTAAGGAAGAATACCCGGTGAGGACGGGCATTTCRCCGCAGAAACACCGTCCGAGCAAGACTGTGGACCAGAAAAACCGGGATGTCAGCACCACTCCGAACAGTGATGGATTCGGAGCAAGTGCATTTTTCTGCGGGACAAGCGCATGTGGTAGARTCGATCAGGTTATCGACRAATCCGATGAAATCGTGAAACCATCCRACAAAAGCAAAGAACAGTCATCCGATACACCTATGTTGTTGGAARCGGAAGAGGACGCCGTCGCTATCGAGGCWACGGTGAGCTACGACGAAACCGGCGGGGTRATGCTTGATGCACAAGACGCACCATCTCGATCGAAGCATTACACCAAGGCTGCCGCGGTTCCTACACGATTGCGCGCCAACAGCGGAAAACCGCTGCAGCATGGTCTTTCCGACGAGTCTGTTGCCATCAAGATTCTGAACCCCGTAGGCTATCGCATTTTGCAGGCGGATGCACTAAAGAATTGTGTCGTGGTGAGACAAGGCCAACCAATGGATGCGGGTGTYCAAAAAGGAGAGAAACCAATGGAGGAAAAGCATGTTTGGTGGCTTGTGAACCCGAACAGTCGAAACCTGATCACACTGCAGCGRTATAACGGTAAGGACAAGAATTCTACGGTGCCGAAAGGATTGCAGATCGATCGGGGATCCGCAAAGAAGGGATTGCGACTTAGCTTGATTGCTGCTTACATTGACCCAAAAAATGGAAATCTCAGAGAACTCACGTTGACAAGGTGCATTGAGATTTGGGGGCATATTCCTTTCAATGCTACGGACATTGAATTTGATGACATGATGACCGCTATCGAACGAATTAACGCTGGGTATCCTCCTCCCGCTTTCCCGACATTTGACGATGTCTCCGGCCGCGTCAAAACTGACAAGATAGAGCGCACGGCGTCAATTACTACAAATACATCGAGCGATGGTGACAGAGGCTTACCTCCCGTGGTGTTTGGCAAAGCCAGAACGTAAGTTTTCCGTTTTCGCTTTGATCTTCAACCACAGCATTTTGTGGGCAATGACGCAACAGATCTCTCAAATCTTTCTCCGAATGCAATTGTTTTTTTTTAATAATGGTACCGCAGTGGTTTGGTCCGTGCTGCATTTTCCGAGCGAAAAACCGTCAATTGCAAAGAGTTGAACGCCTTCATTGCTATTCCTGCAGTTCCTTCAAAATACCTWCGTTGGTTGAGACAACGGCGTGCTGCCACGAAAGAAATTCGAAATATGATGCTCATCGGCCGGCATAAAAAYGTACTGCACCTGTTTGAAGTGTTAGAGTACATTCAGGACTCAAAGTCAACAATGTTTCTGGTCCTTGAGCTTGTGAAAGGCGGCGAACTCTTCGATCTAATTAGCAACAGTGCCGGGAAGGGAAGTCGCAGCTCGGAAGACATTGAAAAATCGGAGCAAATGATGCGAAAGTTCTTTTATGAACTTTCTAGTGGTATCAACTATTGTCATCTYAGTGGGATTGCTCACAGAGACCTAAAACCAGAAAATCTGCTCGTCCACAACACTGGAGATGGTTCTCGTATATTGAAAATTGCAGACTTTGGTTTGTCTGCTGTGTTTGGACCCACAGGGAACAACCTCGGAGTAYTAGGGCTTCAAATGGAGAACGACAACATGGTTGAATCGATAGGATCTCCCTTGTCACAAAACAGTGCCGACGGTGATGGATATTTTGGGAGTCAAGCTGACAACAACCTAAGTCCGAGCAGTCAATCTACGAACTCCATGAAGGGTTCTATGGATAAAGTGATTGCGTCTGGAGTGAGCGCTCTCTCCTTTTTAACGTGCGGTGCAATGGAAACCGTGTTGTGTATTCCCGGTGGCGATGCAGTGGACAATGCAACCCCACTGCGRCGAATGACCTCTGTAGTTGGATCTCCCCATTATGTGGCACCCGAAATTATTGCGCAMACCGACGAAGGTGGTGGAAAGAAGAAAGGCAAAGGGTACGATGGAAGCAAGGCAGATGTTTGGAGTGCCGGTGTCATCCTATATGCTATGCTGTTCCGATCGCTTCCTTTTGGTGAAGATTTGCTGCGATGCCCTCGGTTCCAATCGTATAAGAAATGGTACGACGAAGTTCGGAATTCCGGCGACAGCCGAAGATCCAATGGCAACGCTGCTCTCAGTCCATACATAARTGACTACGACGAACGCCACTATTTGGGACCWCACTGGTTTTTCCCCGCGACGACATCGAGGGAGTCGAGGGACCTAATAGTCGCTATGCTGAATCCATTGCCTACGGACCGAATGTCGATCGCTCAGGTTTTACAACACCCTTGGCTATTACGGGAACGGCAAATCTAGACTACTTCTGAATATGGTCGCCATCAATGTACAATATATATTCRAATAAGTTTGCATACTATATTGAATAAGCCCAAATTCTATATCATTAACAATGTAGACAAGAGCATGGTATAGCGTTCCGGATCACAAAATATAGCAAAGAACAAWAGTRAATGCCCTCGATTTGGTCCAAAAAGTCTACAAGTACTTTGGATCACTTGTTTCCTCTTTCATCTGCACAAGATCTCGAACTTCTGACTCTGTATGTCCTTTCTGGATTCGACTAGGGCGTCCGTTGCTTGCATCCCGAATTGCTGGAGGCTGTCACGCCGGCTGTTCTTTCAAAGGGAGATGGAAAACAAAGCAGCAAGACAATCTGTTTCCAATGAAAACCCGATGGGATTTCCATCTCAGTTGCGACTCGAGAGCGACGGCCGCCMCGAAAGCACAAGTAGCATCCGCGCCGTAGCGCTCGGTGCAACGTTATTCGTCATTRTCGTCGTCGTCCCAATCCTCTCCAAAGAGAGCAAAGGAAGCTACTTTTTTCATCAACCCGGTCGTCCGGTCCCACGTTTTGTGGAATTCGTTCGTGACGCGCTTGCTTGCCTCGTAGGTCCGCGTGGGAAAGTCGTCCTGAACGGAATTGTACAAGAGTTTTCCGTTGATGCKCATGTGTTTCAGGATCTTCTCCCCCGAAGACACGAACCGCTCCGGTGCTCCCGAGAAAAGCCATCCCTTTGACAAAGGCTCCCCCACCCCTGGGCCGGATTTTTGGTCGGGGTCGGCATTCGCGGTGTTCGGCCCCTGGTTCTTGTCGTCGTCCTTGTTGCCGGGTTCGTCCTCCTCCAGTCCCTCCAAAACCGAAGCGTAAACGATTTCCAGTATCCCCAGCCGAATCGTCGTCGTTCGCTCCCGCCCTCCCGTTTCGGAACCGATTCCGATGTTGGTAGGCGATATAGCCACGTCGCGAASCGTCATCCCGGGTGCACAGAAGGAAGCAACCCCCGCGATGCTTTCGTCCTTGGCGTTCTGTGGTCGCAGCACCAAGAGATCTACCTCTGTCGACCCGTAGCAGTCAATCTTGTCTTCTTTCGGTCGTATGGTTGTGGAACCATCCGAGTTTTTTCTAGAGGTCATTGTCATTGYTTCTATYCTTTTGGACCGGCCGTCCTTCCCGTCCTCCGCCTCGTCGTCGTCCGTCCCGCTGCCACTCGACGGCGGAGGCGGTGGATAGAGCAGTACATTGGAGAGGTACACGGCCTGCTCGGCATGAGCCGACGAGGCACCCGCCTGGTCGCCACCCGAGTTGTAGTAATCGTCTTCCGGCGCGCCGCTGCTGTAGTCCATGGCACTCTTGTACTCGAATTGCTTGATGGCTTCTTCCCTCGTGGAAAGCCTCCAGTGATCGATGTGCTCCAGCTTGGATTGGATCCCGTGGCACACACCAGCGGAAGCCTTGCTCTGGCCACCGTTTCGAGAATCTAGGGCGAGTTTTCCYGTGCACGTGTATCGGAAAATCGACGGGTGGTACAGAGTGGTTGTCGATGGCGATGTCGATGGCGATGTCGATCCCCCTGATGCCACCCGTGTCGAGGATGAATTCGATCTCGCGACCGAGGACAGCAGATGRGGAGATCGCTTTCTCTCGCCCGGACCTTTTCCGTCGTTTGCCATGGCTATTTGTCGTATCAGTAGTGTTGTACGTTTTTTACTGTCCCTCAGGGCACTGGTGTCGGCTTTCCCTTTGTCAGCTGGTACGAATAATGATCGTCGTTCGGCTTTCTTCGAATGTTTGGTTTTATTCGGTTAGGGTAATTTATTCGATCGTCGTACGTAGGGTTTGTACTGTACTCCCAAACGTACTAATGTACACCATCGTAAAAGTTTACGTTCTTGGAACGTACAGGACGGTAAGATACTACCATACGTTTCCAACATATGGTGGGTACGATTCTTTTGGGGGCGTTGGGGGCAATGTCATTACTTCGAGGACGAAAATCGACGCGTATCCTGAAAGATCTCGGAAAAAGCCGTGTGCCTGTGAGAATCTGTGAGAAGTCCGAAGTGTKTTGTCCCAAACGATCATTTACAGTATCTCGTTCAATCAACTGCACTGCACTTGTCGCTGTTCTACCATAGACGTGCCGGTGAACGATGCCGGATGCAAGAAAGCCTATCGCCAGTGCGGACGATGCCACTTGCGACAATAACAATAACCGTGATGGCGGAACTCCGATCGACAAAAAGAAGCGATCCCGGTTTCCCAGTCGCCACCACGATGGAATCGTTGGCACGGGGCACGATTTGATTGCCAACGAGCTCTTGTGCTGGTTGCTWCCCACGCACATGGCAACGCATCGTGTGAAATTTGCGGTCGTCCTGATCGGTTTGGTGTGTGTGTTCTGGCGCTGCTGGAGCGATCTCGCCGCCGACGCAACGCCAMCGAATTTCGATCCGTCGTCGATTCTTTTCCTGTCTTCGATCGGGGCACTGGCTGCTTTCTGGGTGGTGTGGTATTACAACTCCACGCTCTACGCGTCTGCGAAGCCGTGGATGGATCCGAGGGTTCCCGCAACGAACCGGGTGGAAATGCACGTGCCCCTGCGCTTTTTCGAATCCACTCTGCAGGCCCGGCGAGCTGCGTGTCTTCCGCAAATGGYGTCCCGTCGGAGCACAACGGGACCCATGGTTGCTACCGAACCGGAASTGCMTGTGTCCGGTACGGCGAATCATACCCAAAACGAAGAAGCTTCCCATTCGGATTCGTCGCCGGAGCTTTTGTCGTCGTCGTCGCCATTGACTCCCAACGTTCTCTTGTTGGACGACATGGATTGGGAATTTCAACTGCTGCCAACCGTCGAAGAAGCASTGGCACGCGTGGGCAGAGACACGAGAACGAGCAAGACCACCGACAAACGCCCGGGGGATTGGTCCCCGATTCGCGTTCCGGGAAATTGGATGCTGCAGGGGTTTGATGATGTTCCGATCTATACCAACCAGAAATATCCATTTCCGTGCCAGCCACCCATTGTTCCGCGTCGAAATCCGACTGGATGCTACAGATTGTCCGTTCCGCTTCCCYCCGATTGGCAGGCCGAACTGAACGAGGACGATCAATTTAGCATCGTGCTCCACGGAATCGAGTCGGCGTGTTTCGTATACTGGAACGGCAAAGAATTGGGTTTCTTCAAGGATTCAAGATTGCCTTCCGAATACKTGATTCCTTCTCATCTCCTGTTGCCAGACGACAACGAATCGGTACATCGCAATCCAGTCTTGCACTTGGTCGTAGTCCGGTGGTCGGACGGTAGGTGAGTCGAGTCGAGTCGAGTCGGGTTGGAACTGGAATGCAACCGTGTTCTTGGCGCTCGTATTGTTTTCTCGTGTGGCTGGAGTGAGTTGAAAGTCCATTGCTTCCTAACAACGTTCTCGTTCTTGCATCCATCGCTACYGCACTGCGCTTCTAGCTACCTYGAAGATCAGGATCACTGGTGAGTACCCKCYATTTCATACAATTATGGATTCAAATGTACTTTGTAATAGAATTCACCGCAGAAAAAAAACCATAACGCTCAGCAYGTTCTTGCGCTTCTAACTACAGGTGGATGGCAGGGATCCATCGGAGTGTGGAGCTAATACGCCGGCGTCAAGGATCTGATATTATGGATTATAGCGTACAATCCTCGGCATCTGGTGACTTGTCAGTAACGGTCAAGATGCGAAATGTCCAATCGATGCGGTTGACCGCTCGCTTGTTCTCGGATGAACAATTGACAGCCGAGGGGGATTGGAAGGCCGCCCCCAACGAAATATGGTCTCAACAAAAGCTCACACCAAAAGGGTCGGATGGAACTGTAACAGCAACAGCAACAGCAACAAATGGATCGAACGAAGAGAACCCAACCACGACAACGATTAGTTTCGAAGGCCGCGTCGATAACGTTCGGAGATGGACRGCAGAAACACCAAATTTATACACGCTTGTTTTGGAACTGGAAAGGTTTCCCTCGCTCGGATCCAAAAWTGGTCAAAAATYGGATCGCAATTCTAGTCGATCTCAAGGAATAACCCAGGTAGAATCCTGTCGCGTGGGCTTTCGCACAATCAACATCAAAGGTGGCATTCTTTATTGCAATGGTAAACAAATCATGATTTGTGGCATCAACCGCCACGAACACGATCCAGACCATGGAAAGGTCGTTTCGCTGGACAGGATGAAGCAAGACATCACAGTGCTCAAGCAGAACAATTTYAATGCTATTCGGACAAGCCACTATCCTACCCATTCTTCTTTCTACAAATTRTGTGATTTCTACGGAATGTACGTTTGCGACGAAGCCAACATCGAAACGCACGGATTGAAACCCATGGGGCGACTGGCTCACGACAAGGGATGGGAACAGGCATTTGTGGAYCGTGTTCGGCGAATGGTACAACGGGATCTGAACCATCCCTGCATCATCATGTGGTCGTTGGGCAACGAAAGCGGCAGGGGTAGAAATCTGGTTTCCGCTCGCCAATCGTTGTTGGATCTCGACACTAGTAGGCCCATCTGCTACGAGAGCGGTGGATCGTGGAGCGAGGGAATCGGTAGAACGGAGCTGACAGACATAGTGTGCCCTATGTACCCAAATGTTGACGAAGTTGTTCGTCTTGCAACCGATCCYGATGAGGACAGACCCATCATTTTATGCGAGTACAGTCATTCTATGAACAATAGCAACGGAAATTTGCATCTATATTGGCGCGCCTTTCGAAGGTTCGAACGTCTTCAAGGTGGTTTCGTTTGGGATATGATTGATCAAGGTTTGCGGAAAACTGCAAAGGACGGCAGATCATACTTTGGCTATGGTGGTGACTTTGGAGTGGGGCAACCATCTGATCGACAATTCTGTATTAACGGGATGTTTTCTCCGGACAGGGATCCCCATCCGAGTGTGTCAGAAATCAAGTACCTACAACAGCCAATAAGCATTGAGGTTTTGGGATCGAAGAATACCACTAATGYCACTTTGCCGTCTTCGCACGAAATAAAGATAGAAAATAACACAGATGCGACTCCAATTCGCTTGAAGATCAATAATCTGTACTCGTTTTCTRACCTRTCGCACCTCGATTGGGAATGGAAGCTGCACTGCAATCACTCTACTGAACCTCTCATGGTTGGTAGGGCAACTGACGAACACGACATTGCAACCATTGATATAAGTCCTGCAATCAAGAACATTCGCTCGGTCATGAAAGAGGCAGAAGATTTTTCAACAGTATTGTTCTTTCTCGACATCAAAGGATTCCTTAACAAAGACACGACGTGGGCATTGAATGGACTTATCTTAGCTACAGAACAAATCCCTATTACCATRAGTTTTGACACTATACATCCTTCATCGATAATACCAGACGAAGGATGCGATAACGAACGAGAACCATTGAGGTTGTCTTCCGAAAAGAATATGACGAAGGTATCGAACGGCAATAATATTCCTTTCATCACAATCGACCATAATACGGGAGGGATCCTTTCTATTGACTGGAACGGAACACCAATTTTAGCTGGTCCAGTCATTCCGAATTTTATGAGAGCTGCTACGGACAACGATAGGGGAGGGGCGGAACTGGTTCTCRAGTTTTTGCTACTGAAACGGTTTACACCAATCTTTCGACTTCTATTCGGTCATGAAGGATTCTCCTATGAGATGAATTGGAGACGATGCGGCCTCAGCCTAGATTCACCTCCGSTCATTGTCTGTGACAGTATTCGGGTCGTAGAGGAGCTTGATGATCTTGTGCAGATAGAAGCATTGGTTTCCATTTTATCAAAGGAATCAGGGAAGACAATCATTGAGCAGGTCTGGACTTACGAGATCTACCGAGACGGAAGAATTTCCCTCGCCAGCAAAGTAAAACCAGTTGCTCGTGTGCCGTTTCTACCAAGGGTCGGATTTTCGTTTCGCTTGAATCCATCCTTTCACGCAGTCCAATATTTTGGTAGAGGACCGCTCGAAAACTATCCGGACAGAAAAAGTGGATCGAATGTTGGCTGGTGGAAAACATCGGTGTCAAATATRGGATACGACTACATCGTGCCGTCTGAGAACGGAAGTAGATCAGATTGTCGACAAATCTGCTTCGAATCTGGTAAAGATGGTGGCATCACTGTACTTGCTGATTCTCGTACTACCTTTAGTTTCAGTGCACTACTCCATAGTGCGACTGAGATCCACCATGCATCCCATACTTGCGACTTAGATCGGCGCACGGATGGAAAGCACCCCATCTTCGTCAGCATAGATCATCAACTGATGGGGTTGGGCGGTGATGATAGCTGGTCTCCCTGTGTGTATCCAGACTTTCTTGTKAAGGGTGACCGAGAGTACAGCTACAAAGTATGGTTTGTCAGCATTCCTCCAGGAGCAAAAGGCTGATGGTTTGTTTGTCAATAAAGCAGAGTTTTGATGCTGTTGYAGACTAGATAAATCGTAAATATGAAATTTGAGGCTGGCAATTAGCATCTAATATCATAATGTCAATGATTAGCTTACTAAGAATCAACACCATCACTACATCTATMCTACCTGTCAATATCAGTAGGAGGAACATAACATTGAAGATTCTACCTAAGTATTCCTAATCAAATAGCTGCTGGCTGAAGGACTGTTGCTCTAATAGTAATCAGTCAATACTGAGACAAATTGATGTCAAATCTCTAGCAATTGATTTCTTGAATCTTATTTTTTTTGTAGTTTTCTTGTTGGCAAAGAATATTTCTGGTGGGACTAAAGGAGAAATTACAGCAGTATGAAGAACTTTTTTGCTGACTTCTGTGATTGCCTATTTTATTGTCATTACAATGACGAGCCAATGACGGCAATCGTTCTTTAAMGTAATGATTCTTGGGTATTTTGAAGTCTTAAATTTAAGGTGTTACAGCAATGGTCCAAGGAGATGTCACCGCAAATTGCAAGKTAGAATAACATCAAAAAATTTAACCATGTGAACTTCTTGTTGTTGGAGGTTTGTTGRAGGTAAAAGGATTCAAGTTTCTTGTTTCCTGGTGTGTTCCATGTTCATCAAGAAATGCAGCAGCTGCTAGTAATATAAGTACCCATCAAAAATTTCCAACAACAACAGCAGCAGCAGCAGCAACAACAACAACAGCAAGAGCATCATCAAGAAATTGTCAGGAAACTTGTTGTTGTTCTTGTTGTGTTCCTCCTTGTCCTCGTCCTCGTCCTCGTCCTCGTCCTCGTCCTCGTCCTCGTCCTCGTCCTCGTCCTCGTCCTCGTCCTCGTCCTCATCTGAAATTCTTCTTGTTTTTCAGAAGAACAAAGGACACCTCATATAAAAAATGCAGCTACTATGGAGAACAACAAGCATGGATTTATCACCATCCTGTACAGTAATACTAGTMGTACTGCTAATAGTACTAGTACTTGCACCCATATKTACTTAGTACACTATCATAACAGGAAACGAGATGTGCTGATCTATCTGACACAACTACTCGCACATAAGATTGATACGTACGAAGGTACTARTTAAGTACTAACAAAGGAACCGTACCGTACATTGTACATCTCGTACAGGTGTTCGTAATCGGGACTCGTTCACCATCGATCATCCTTTCACGACAGAAGGAGTGCATGTCGGTCAATCAGKAGCATGGATAGCAACTACAACAATCATTGTAGAAGCCAGCATCCAACACCCAAGACAGCGACCAAAACCACGGTATCTGCATTCGATTGAAACGTCTACCGCAGCGACAGCATCTTGAAGCACAAAACCCTTGCATCATGACGATCGAGCAGGCAGAAACAGCACAAGACGAGCTGTCGGCCTGGAGGAAACGACGCGCGGAGCGACAACGAAAGAGGCAACAAGACCAGGCCGATAACGAGGACGACTTTGCTGCGCTCGCTCGCAACCTAGAGGGCGACCATAACGAATCGGGGAGGAAAGAAACCGCTGGAGATGACGACGACGATGACGATGACGTTCCCTATGTGCCACTGGCAAAGCGGAAGAAACTGGAGAAGGAAGCCCTGATTGGAGGCATGACCCACAGAAGACGGCACCTCGGGTTGGACGATGCCGATTCCTCGGGACTCGGCGATGACGGTGGYAAATCGTCGACAACCGGGGCGGAAGGCGGCGGCAAAACGAAAACGAACGACGGCACCAGCAACGGCGACGGCGACGAGGAAACCCCGAAGGCCGCCGATCCGCAAAAGGTCGAGTCCCTCCTCGACTCGGCCACGGCCCTCCACGATGCCCTCACCGAGGAAGAGCGAGCCGAAAAGCTGCGCAAGGAGGAGGAGGCCAGAATYATGAAGGAGGCCTCCAAGGTGCAGACCAACGCGCTGCAGGCKGCCTCCGAGCTCGCCAAGGGGATCGAATACAAAGAGTCCATGCCGTCGACCTGGACCTGCCCGCGGTACATTTTGAACCAGGGCGAAGATGCCTGGGAAAAGATTCGAAAAGAATGGCACATGGAGTGCGAGGGCGTSGACATTCCCCCGCCGTGCAAGCGGTTCGTGGACATGAAGTTCGCCCCGCCGATTCTGGAGGTTCTCAAGCGGAAGGGAATCAAAAAACCAACGCCCATTCAGATGCAGGGACTCACTGTGGTACGTAGGAATCGTTTCGGGTCTTTGTGAATCTGTGTGTTTSGTSGGTTGCTGATTKGGTTGTGGGGTTGRGGACATAAATATTTAGGGGCTGCACGTACTCATTGCGTGTCCCTTTCCCATTTGGACGGTGCGATGCGATACTCATCTCTTTTTCTTGTTTTTCGTTCATGTTCCTCTCCAACGAAATTCCTGTTCCGTTCCTTTCAGGCACTTGCAGGCCGTGATTTGATTGGGATCGCCTTTACCGGATCGGGAAAGACGCTCACCTTTGGGTTGCCTTTGGTCACGGTGGCACTGGAAGAAGAACTGCGGATGCCACTCGCTCCMGGCGAGGGGCCCGTCGGGATCATCCTTGCGCCCTCTCGAGAATTGGTCCGGCAGACCTACGAGGTAGTGATGGAATTCTGCGACGAGATTTCGAAAACACCGGGGTATCCAGAKATTCGAACGCAGCTGGTCATCGGGGGAGAATCGGTGAAGGACCAATTGATGACGCTGCAGGCGCAGGGAATCCATTGCGTGATCGCTACGCCGGGCAGACTGAGGGAYATACTGAAGCGAAAGGCGATGAAACTMGACAACTGCCGTTACATTGCACTGGACGAGGCCGATCGGTTGCTGGATCTCGGCTTTGACGAGGAACTGGCAGAGATCATGAACAGCTTCGGCCACCAGCGGCAAAATCTTTTGTTCTCGGTACGTTCGTCGGTTCGTTCGTTYGTTCGTTYGTTTGTCCWGTRGATTCGATACGAYACGGCTTGGTGCACGTTGTGTTTTGATCACTGCCCGTTTGATTGCATCTCACCATCGACCRTKRAATTGTATTCAAACACAGGCTACATTTCCGAAAAAGTTCCAGGTACGATACAAACTGTACCGTCTCCATCAAAACAATTGGGGATTTCACACGACTTAAYATTGTTTCGTATCTGGTGTTGACCATTGTGGATCTCGTTTCATTTTCTTTAATTTTCTCACCTTTGAACTTTTYTGCTTCCAGGATTTTGCACGAGATACCTTAATCAAACCAATTATTGTCAATGTCGKGCGTGCGGGAGCGGCCAACCTTGATGTAATCCAAGAGGTAGAATATGTCAAGGACGATGTAAAAATACCGTATCTATTGCAATGTTTACAGAAGACTGCTCCTCCTGCGATCATCTTTTGCGAGCGAAAAGGAGACGTAGGTGCGTTCTTTGTGTTCCAAAATGGAATAGCGTGCAATATGTGTTTTCTATGCCGTGCCTCGCATCTGGCGTTTTSTTCCCCCATTCTCATCTTTTTCAATGTTTTGGAYGCAACTATTTTGTTCCWATGGTTGATTGTCGCCACCCCACACACAGACGATATCCACGAGTACCTTTTGCTCAAGGGCGTCGACGCCGCCAGCATACACGGTGGCAAGGAGCAAGAAGAACGGAACGAGGCTATCAAAGACTTYAAGGCGGGATCCAAGGACGTGTTGGTAGCGACCGACGTCGCCGCGAAGGGTCTCGATTTCCCCCAGAGCATCCAGCACGTCATCAACTTCGACATGCCCAGCGAAATCGAAAACTACGTCCACCGAATCGGCCGAACCGGCCGCTGTGGCAAAACGGGGGTTGCGACCACGTTCATCAACAAGAGTTGCGAGGAGACGACGCTCTTGGATCTCAAGCACCTGCTCAAGGAAGCACGCCAGCGAATTCCGCCGGTTCTGATGATGCTGGACGATCCGAGAGATCGAAACGGCGGTGCGGGGTGTTCGTACTGCGGAGGTTTGGGCCACACGGTGGTGGACTGTCCCAAGATCGACAAAAACGCGAGGCAGATGGCCAGCGGTCGAAAGGATGCCCTGGCAACCGGCGACTACGGCGGGGATTGGTAGCAACACCTCGATTGCGACGTTATCGCAAGCTGCTGGGCTAGGGAAAGTAAGGGCTCATAGTTTGTCCCCTGCACATCTTGTCCTTGTATTGTATTGTATTGTATTGTATTGTACGGCATGCATTATTCTACTCTACTACTAGTTACAAACTTCTACAGGGGTTTTCCCCCACCCGGCGCGGTCGATCCACCGCACCGCAAGGACGGACCAACCACCCAACCACGGGGGAAACGGCCGGTCTCAGAGGCCCCTCAGGAGGAGGTCGTCGTCCCGGAAGTGGTCGCGGCGTTCGAACCGGTAGTCCGGACCGGAGGCCGTTTCGGCGTCGAACTCGTGCTCGAGCGGGTCAAAGGCGGACGAAAGGTGCTTGCCGCCGGAGTGGCCGATCGGCCGCTTGGCCCGGACCTCCGACCACCGCTGCCGCGCCGTGGTGAGGGCCAGCCGGGTGTCGTCCCGCAGGCGCGTGAGGTGGTTCATCTCGTGGACGATGGCCTCGCGCAGCACCCGGTCCGACTCGTTGCGGACCGAAAGRCGGCCGCCGGCCTCGTGGTGCTCGGCCGGCAGCGCGCTGCTGCTGCTGTTGTTGTTCAACGCCGTCGTCGTCGTCGTCGTCGTCCCCGGGCGGCCGTCGCTCACGATGCGGGCCGCGCGGATGGAAAGGATTTCCCTCCGAAAGCTCCGGATCTCTCCCTCCAGCAGGGATAGCTCCTGCTTGAGCCGGACCACCTCGCCGGAGATCCCCCTGAGGAGCTGCCTCCACTGCGCCAGTGCCTCCTCCTCGCGCTTCAGGCGGCGCTCCTTGGCCCGGCGGTCGAGCATCCGGGGGTAGGCCACGAGGATCGCCCAGCCGTAGGCCACGGATCGGCCGAGGGCGGCGATCCCCTGGAAGCCGCGCAGGGAGATCCACCGGCCCAGGACGCTCCCGAGGCCCGTCGCGGTGGTGGTCGCGGCGGCGCCCGTGAGAATYCCCCCGACAAGGCCCCCGCTGCCGCCCCGCACCACGAKGGGGTTCCAGAGGGAGGCGAGGGCCACCGCCGCCACTCCCAGGCGGAAGCGGAACTTCTGGCTCGGGCGCAGCTTGCGCCACTGCTTCCGGAAATCGATCCCCCGCCTTGCCYTTGTGTCGGGGCTGCCGACCGCCGCGGTCTTGGGGTAGCCCCTGGGATCGCTCTCGCCGTGGCCCGCCTTCCACTCGGCCGGGGCGGTCCTCTCGGAACGGTGGCTACCGAGGTGCTTCGGGTTCACGGTGCTCGCCGGAAGGATCAGGTGTTGCTGTTGCTGTTGCTGTTGCGGCTGCTGTTGCGGCTGCTGTTGCGGATGCTGGTGGTTCGGATCGAGTGTTTTGTCTTCCACCGGAAGGACGGGAGCCGTCAGGACTTCCTTGATGGCGTCCGATATATGGGTGGCCAGGGGTTCCGCTGCGGGCTCTGCGCCGGTGGGAGCACCCGTGTCCCCGGTGCCGCCTACTTCCGTTTCCTCGTTGCTTTTGTGCCGGGTGCCGCCGTCCTTGCTCGGAACGACAAARGAGGCGGAGCCGCTCGGAGACGGTGGCGCCTCGTCTTTGCCCGGCTCCCTTGCCCCRAAGGCCTCCCGGTCGGCGCCGTTCTCGTACTGGTAGYGCAGGAGCGACGGAGAAACCGGCACCTTCGGTGGGCCCGCGAGGCTTCTTCGCCCCCCTGCGACAAGGGCCGGTTCGGGGAGGGCCCGGGCCCCCTTTGGCCTCTGGGAAGGGCTCGCTCTGGGCGGGGGCACCACGACAAAGCCGAGGGCGGTCCGGAGCGAAACGATCGATGCCATGGCGACGAGCCGGAAGCACATCACGTGTTTTGTGGGCTTCTTCCCGACCGAACGMTTTGCCGGTGGGAGGGCCTCCATCTCGGTTCTGGTTCGTGGAGAAAGCGCCACCCGGCGGCTGCTGCTGGTGCTGGTGGTGCGCCGAAACACGATTGGTTTTGTGGAAGGATGCAGCACGGTACTGTTGAACAACTGTACGGTATGGATCTTCGCAGTCTCGGGCACCCAATGCTCGATTCCCTATGCTCTGCTCTTCTCTGCTATCGTATGGCCCGGTCAACCGCAAGCAAACACAAGCACAACCACAACCACAAAGACAAAGACAAACTGCCTCCGAAACCGTGGACGGTAGGTTGGGTGTGCGGGTTCTCTTGTTTGTTAGTCGTTGCACGAATAAAGCTCGGATTCGGCGATGGGTGCACTCCACCGCTCCCCCTTCGGTTTCGTTGCTCTCGAATTCTTTCTGCCTTTTTTTTCGAAACACACTCTTTTTGCATGCGTCGTGACGCYAGAAACGCCGAGGCAAACCGCGCGGAGTGCTGGTACTTGTASTACGTGGAGGTCACGTACCGTAGGAACATAACWTACCCGAAGCGTTTTAACGTSYGTGCCAGTACTACACGYACGTACATTACCTGGYACCTCCACGTGATGAAAAACAGTTTCATCAACGCACTGAGTCGTGCTACTCAKATTTAGTCGGATCAGTCAAATAYACCATCCAAGAGGTTGGGTGAAGAAGAAGACAGATGACGATGATGATGACCCAGTTTGGATGAAGATGATTCAGAATTCTCGACGCTCGGTTACACGTGCGACTAATAAGTATACTCGTACTTTACTTGCTTAACGGTTGTTCGGACGGTCCATACCGTACATACCGTACGTAACATACTCATACTCGAATGGAACAAGAAGAACGAGAAAGAAGTTGTCAYCGTTTTCGGCGTTTTCAAATTCTGGTTCAATACAGTACCGTATCCGGTGCCTCATGCAGACACGGCGACGATTGTTCAAAGATACGGCGGAAGGCAACCCTTTCACCCGACCCTTCCTCTTTCCACAACACAACCCAGAGAAGGTTCCAATTGCATTCCTTTGGCAAACCACACGACCRMTCACCACTCACCACACGACCATGAGACTCCAGAACCGGGCAAGGACCCTCGCGCTCGCATCCGCGACGCTGCTGGCACCGGGCCCGCTCTCCCCGGCGGCCCTCGCCGGTGCCTTTTGCGCGCCGGGATCCCATGGTCCGGGGGCGGCGTCCACCGGCGGGACCCGGGTCACTGCCGGGTCTTCCGGCGCATCTTCCAGCGCGCTCTTCCTGCAGGAGCCCCCGGCGCGAGAGGCCGCGCCTCTGGCGACGGAGGACGACGAKCCGCCGGGGGCGGGGGAGCTTCCGCCGGCGGTGGCCGACACGGTCCGGACCATCGGCAGGTCCACCCGCCGGGCCGTGGTCTACGGGTCGGGGATTCTCTTCAACCTCATCGGCCTCTACTTTGGCTTTGGGCTCGTCCTCAACCTCACCGGTTACGCCTACTCGTTCAGCTTCAAGGACGGGTACAAGATCGACACGATCGAGAACCGGAGGACGCAGATCCAGTTCGAGCGGGAATCGAGGCGGTACGACAGCGAGAAGCTGCGGCAGCAGCAGCAACAACAACMAGAGCAAGCCACGGCGTCGCGGCTGGCCGTCGAGGCGGTGGGCCGGGCCGAGGCACCGGCGGAATAGAAGAGACGAGAAGAGAAGGATCGGGCCGGCGCCGGGGCAGCGTGCGGCGGACCAACGGCGGCGGCGATGGTGCGAACAAGGCGTGGTTTGCGTCGCACGGCACACCCCTGCGCAATGCAATGCAATGCAGTGCAGTGCAATCCTTCGTGGTTCTGTGGCATCCGCAACCGAACGGCTCCCGCGYCGAAAGGGTCTCCGCGTTCCGACGGTGCCTTGCGTGGCCCGAGCGTTCCGAGCGAGGGAGAAAGGCAGGCGAAGCGGCACCCCCTCGTGGACTCGATTGGCATGGTTGGTTGGATCTTGCGAAGCATGGCACGGGTGTTGGTGCTCCCCGGGCGACCGGATTGTTGTGCTATTCCCGTGCTTTGGATGGGCGCAAGAATTGAAAAGCGAATCACTGCATTTTCTTTGGTGTTCATCGCACGACTAGACTCTATTCTAACGACACGGGCTTAGCCTTCATCGATGCTGTAAACAGGTTCCATTTGAAGCCAAACAGGAAATCCCCCTGTAGTTTCTTCCCCAGAGGACAACATCATTCTCTGTCGATTTCGAGTAGTAGTACTAGTCGTAGTCGTAGTCGTAGTCGTAGTCGTAGTCGTAGTCATCCTCGCGAGATGGTATTTCCAACCGATGGACAAAGCATACCTGGATCGCATGCACTTACCGGCCTCACTGACGACACGCTGATGCTCGATGGCCAGAGCGTTTTTCTACTATCTAGTAATAGTGCGAAAACGATCTTGTAGCATCAAGAAGTGCAAGCAAAAATTTGTTCAACCACGTAGTAGTAGAAGCAATGCTAGTACTACTACTAGTAGAACTACTAATCATTTTGCTACCTAGAATTAGGAAGAAAGAGCTACCATTTGCAGCACCCCTCGTTTGCCAATCTAGGTACTATTTGTTGTCCCATTGACCATGGTCTCAGAACATACCGTACGGTTCATGSACCTTAGGATAATCATGGTTATGGGTTATGGCGGAGTTCTTCCAACGGTAGGGTAGAAGAGGATTGAGTCCTGATCGAGTCGCACTTCAACACTCAACAGCGAGGACGAATAGTCTGTGTGTCGCTCGTCAACCGTCAACGGTTTCCTCTGGAATGGGGTTCTTAGTTCATACTGACGAAGTAGGGTACTTACCGTACATACGGTAGCGTACTTACCGGATATAACATCTCCCAAAAATTGAAAATGCACTCCGAGCTCTTAGGATTACTACCGGTTGGCATCGTCTTRCGCTGCGATGCCGGTATTAATGCCAGAACAAGTTGTCGCGCCGCAGGCATCAGGCATGCAGCCAGCCTCCACTACGTCCATACTGGTAAGATACCCTAACGACGTAACACACAATGGTACGAGCCAATCGTGACACAACCAGTGGTGTCACGTTTGGCGGAGCGTCACACCACGTCGSAACCTAGCATCATCGACACAACACAATAATTCACCGCACTCCTCACAACAACATGATATGAACTTCAAACCATGACTCGTAGCTACCGATACGTCGTTTGAAAGTACAAAGTACAGTACTTGGTAGTCTCGTATCTCGTATCGTATCGTACCGTACCTAAGAGGTCGGAAAGATTTCGCATTCTTTTTTCTTACAAGATTAGGTGTTGTTTTCGTACCGTACCACTCCGACTGTTCCGCACTGACTGATCATCAAATGCAGCTACCTTCTTCCTGCCCTCATCGATTTACCGTACTTCGATGCAAATATATGTGATCGAACGTTTTCTTTGACCCTACACAACCGTACGGTACAATACAACTGGACTTTCGAAAGACTGCAAAGAGACATTCTGCCACAASATACAGCCCATATCACCCAACCCAAACGGCGACCACAATGAACAAGTTCCGAGCAGTTGTCGCTTTGTTGCTGGCATCCACGACGGATGCGTTCACATCGCCTTTCACTRCATCGAATCTTGGAGAGATTCAACTCCCTCGAAAAAATTACGATTGCCAGGAGTGTATGGACCGCAACAATCGCCAGGCAAAATCTGCATCCCGAAGCGAGACCAAAGTGTTCATGCGGAATTTTGATACCGGCAACACCAACACCATCGCAAGACAACAAACGCTGAAAAATACGACGTCTGTGCCATCTTCGTCTCAACTGGGAAMTGCAGACGTTGCGTACAGCGTTTCTGCGAGCAAAACAACAACAMTAGCTATTGCAGAGGACGAGGACGASGACAATGCTTATGTCCGCTTTGCGAAAGAGTACCCTTTCGTAAACAATTTTATCATTGCCTCCTTGAAAACCACTGTAGCCGACCTACTTGCGCAAATCGTAATAGCCCAAACGCCCCTCGACCAGGTCGATTTGCAGCGAAGTCTCCTCTTTTGTGCGTTCGGTGGAATCTATTCGGGAGCTTTCCAATACTTGTATCAGGTCCAGATATTCAAGAAATTGTTCGACGTGGACAAGTTCACATCTCAATCATGGAGCCAGAAACTGAGGGACATACCCGGGATGCAGGCCTTGGCGGCGCAAACGACCCTCGATCTGACCGTGTTGACCCTGGTTTATCTCCCCGCATTCTATATCTTCAAAGCTAGTGTCTTCACCGGGACGAGCGACCCCTCCGTTTGGTTCTCTAGCGGGGTCTCTACCTACACAACGAATTTCGGAAAAGACGAGGCCGACTTGTTGAAGGTATGGCTCCCAGCGGATCTCGTTTGCTTTTCTGTTCCTCTCTATTTGCG